TTGAAGTTTGAACTAGCATTACTGTGACTATGAGCTTAAATTTTATTCTACTATTGCTGTAAAGGAGACGCTGGATCTTATTAGTATGCATGTGTTTTCTCTACAGATGGTGGTCAATTGTCGAGAAGTCATGGGGAATAGTCCAAACTTATCCACAAGTCTTGCCTTTTTACTCGGATTTCAATCAGGTAAGGTGAAATTGATCAAGTCTTGGTTCTTATTTTGTAACACTAACACCATGGTAATTCATGCATTGATTTTCTTGGTTATGATTATGTTCAGATATGTTCTGAAACTCTCTTCTCTCTTTTTTGTTCAGGGCTTTGGTTACCATGTTTCACTCGAAGGTCGCCAACTGTCAGATGCTCCATGGTACAACATATCTTACCAAAGTCTTCAGGTTCAACCATCTTACTGTCTTTGATTTTACACATATCTAATGTTTACATGAACCAAAAACTTTTCCTGCCACAATATGACAATTGTTCTTCTTGATCTGCGTTTGTCTCTCCTCTCATCTGATCTCCGTGTTTGTTGTGTTTTTCACATCAGCCTCTCTTAGAATTCAATGAAGAAGACAACAAAGATATCATCCACGTCACTGTTGAGTGAGTTCTGGCCCTAATACTATCCCCATATTTATTTCGGCAAGAGCAAAAAGGGAAAAATGTTTTTGACAATTCTGAGCAAACATTTAAACAATTACTATGAATTTGATAGTGCTCGAGAGGCATCTTTTAACGGAGGAGGGAACATCGCTTTTAGAGGAAAACTCAAGGGAGATGCGTATTTCACAACAAGGCTCTTCAAACCCCATCTTCAGCTTTCATCTTCCCCCATCACAATCTCCTACTCTGTAAGTCTCTGCTTCTAGATACATCACATTATGAGATCTTGTTGTTTTTACTCATGGAGGATTTTGGAGCTGGTGCAGGTGAAATCAGATGAAACCTCTAAACTTGGAATCCTGCTTTCTTTCTCATCTCCGTCACAGGAGACGAAATCCATTCTCGTTGCTCCACAAGATTCCATCCGTAGATTCAACGGCATGTTCTCACAGTGTCTCGCCACATCAGCGCAGACTGTATCCGAGTGGACGGTACACGAGACAAGCCTTGTCATGGATGGTCACACACTGACTGAAATCTCTGCCTTTTGCTACAGACCAGATAATTCGACAAAGAGTGCAGAATATGTTGCATTGCTGGGACACATCTCAATCAAAGATCATGTTCAGTCCCAGCATAAACCCGAGACTTTACTTCCAGCATCACCGTGGGTCATCGAAGCTCATAACATAGAGCTTGTACAGGGTAATTCTGGTTCTAAGAGCCTCAGGGTTAAGCTAGAATGGAGACAGAAAGACCTTGAAGATTCTGCATTCCCAAAGTACAATGTGTATGCAGAGAATGTGAAGTCGACTGATCTAAGATCGAGGAAGGTGCTAGAGAAACCGATAAGTGAGACAGTGTTCCTTGGAGTCGCTCACGTACCAGCCTATTACGTAGGGGAACTGGTGGTAGAATCAGACGTGAAAGGAGTCCGCTTCGTAGTTCAAGCCTGTGGCAAAGATGGTTCATGGGCCAATTTGGATGATTCCCCTAAGCTTCTAGTTGAACTGGAAGGTCTCTCGTTTCAAGATTCGTCGTAGGTTGTTGCTTTGCTTCACGCCAAAATCTAAAAACTGTGAAACAATAAATATTGAAAAATCCTGACCCGAAAAATATTGTAAAATCAAGTACATCTATTTTTTTTTTTTTTTTTTCATTGGAAGATTTTATATTATACGAAAAGTGTTACAACGTCGAATACAAAGCCGGATAAACCGGAAACAAAGCCCAAGAGTGATATGGGAAACCAAAGCCCGAGAGTGATACGGGAAGCTAAAGCCCTAGAGTTTTAAGGGAAACTAAGCCGGCATGAACTACTCATCCGGAGCCATGAGATTACATACAAAACCTTAAACAAACCTTAAAACACTACCACCAAAAGAAGGAACATGAAGGCCCACACTCGCAATCACCAGAAAGTGCGGAAAGAGCGGTAGACGCGGAGCTACAAAGCTCACAAGCAGCCGCTGAGGCAAGGGGAAACCGCGAAGAAAAGAACCAAATACGACGATTAACAAGACCAAAGAACCACGAACGAGAATCTCAAATCCTATCCACCAAAACTTCAACCAAAAGAGTCTTAAATCTAGAACTTTGCATCCCCACAAAAGGTTAGCCTTACAAGAACTGACCAAAAAAGACTATAAGAAAACTGCTTATTCAACTAATCTAAAGGCAGTGGAAGGACGGTTTTTAAAGATTCACCGAAATAAAGGATGCTAAACCCTAGCCATACAAACGACTAAGCACACACAAACCAATGACCCACGAGAGTAATCCAAAACAGCGGTAGACCCAAAGTACTAAGGCCACCATCAAGCAAACCGGGGATATACCAAACAAGCTTGACTTAGACCCAAAGTACTAAGGCCACCATCAAACAAAATCAAGTACATCTATAAAACTAACAAAAACTTGTCAATAGTTTTAAAAGGAAATGCATCCGAATTTTACATTGTGAATAATAAAACCATAAACCAAATTTATTCATATTTCTCAGCCAATGCAGATTTCTGAATTATATCGAACCAAACAATAAAAAAAAATGCATGAGTCACAGATGACAGATCAATATCATCTTGCAACATTTTGGTTTTTTTTTTTTTGTTGATTAATTTCCTACTATTTATATAAACCATCGTTTTCAAGGGTTTCCTTATCATCATCTTACATTGGATAAATTATAAATACATGACGCCTTATTTAGTCAAGGCTATTCTAGAGACACCACACGTATGCCACAAGCCTTTTCTCCTTTTTACACGTGTCTAACAAACAGACAACCACGTCAGCCCCATCCCTAGCCCATCGCCGTTTCATAAACCTCTCTCCGTTCGCTTACTCCGTCCGACGTCTACAAAGATTCTCATCTTCGTTGATTTCTCTCTCTAGATCTTACAAAACAATGTTGCTCAAGGCTTCTCCCGCTCTCTCTCTCTTGAGCTCCACCGGCGGTGGAAATCTCTTTCCGCCGTCGAGAAATTCGTCGAATCTTCTGTTTTCTCCGAGTGGATCTAGGTTTTCTGTTCAGGCGGCGAAAGGAACCAACACGAAGTCGTTAACCGGAGTTGTATTCGAACCTTTTGAGGAGGTGAAGAAAGAACTGGAGCTCGTTCCCACTACCCCTTTTGTTTCTCTCGCTCGCCACAAGTTCTCTGACGATTCAGAATCTGCCATCAACGATCAGATCAAGTATGTTCTCTCGCTTAGTTTTTGCTTTAATCTATCTATCTTTTTTTCGAATCTCTTCTCTAATAATCATCCCAAATCGAAAAATGTTGAAGGAATCAGAATCCTGTTTATTCAGCCTTAAGATTTCATTGATTGAATAATATCTTCCCAAATGATCATCCTTTTCTACTGATTCAGCTTCGATTCACTTATCATGGTGCTGCTGATCTGAATCGCAATTGTTCATATCTTGCTTTTAATGATTTTGTTCGTGGGAATCGAGTTAGCTAGGTTGGTACGTGACCATGTGTATGAATCTTAACGTCTCTTATTTGCTTTTTGTGAATCTTAGTGTGGAGTACAATGTCTCCTATGTCTACCATGCCCTGTATGCTTACTTTGACAGAGACAATGTCGGCTTGAAAGGTTTCGCCAAGTGAGTTTCTTCTTTAGTCTAATGAAAAACCGTAGTTTTGTCTTTTCAGCTGGTGGATCATCTTTTTGTTATTGTTGTGGGTTTAACTCTGATAGGTTCTTTAACGATTCGAGTCTTGAAGAACGAGGTCATGCTGAGAAGTTTATGGAGTATCAGGTATCATTTCAAAAATCTACCAGGTTATGGACCTTTCATAGTGTTTCTTATGTTTGATGGATTTGATTTTCAGAACATGCGCGGTGGGAGAGTGAAGCTGCAGTCTATTTTGATGCCCGTCTCTGAGTTTGATCACGAGGAGAAGGGAGATGCATTGCATGGTAAGTTTCATCAAGCTTTGTTGTAGCAGCAGTTTGGTAATCTTTGAGAGTAATATAGATCTTAGTAAGCCTCATATATTCTACCACTATCAAATTTTATTATCAAGCTCTTTGTGATTTTGACTCTTCCCTGAATCAGCGATGGAGCTTGCACTGTCTTTGGAGAAACTTACTAATGAAAAGCTTCTGAAGTTGCAAAGTGTAAGGACCTTATCTTTTCATCAGTTATTTCAGTATCACAGAGCACACTTTGACAGTTAAAACTTAAAAAAGATGATTAGATTAATCTCTCTCCCCTGTTTGATCCTGCAGGTTGGTGTGAAGAACAATGATGTTCAGCTGGTTGATTTTGTAGAATCCGAGTTTCTCGGCGAGCAGGTAAAAACAAAAGTTTTCACATTATTATTACTTCAAAATACGTACCGATCCTCATGTACTTGGTAAAAACAGGTTGAAGCCATCAAGAAAATCTCAGAGTACGTTGCACAGCTAAGAAGAATAGGAAAGGGTCATGGTAAGTCCTTAAAAACCCCTCAAAGATAAACCTCAAAACTGCAATTGCACTTTCTTTTGGGTGTTTCATTAAATCGCCTTCCGGTGTGAAAACTGCAGGAGTGTGGCATTTTGATCAAATGCTTCTCAATGAGGTTTAAGGAAAAAGAGTTCAGCTTTTGAGTTAGCTCACAATCTTCCTTGTGCTGTACGGCACCGTTCTATCTTTATAACGACGTCTCTAAGTTTGGTCGGAGAAAAGTTGTTTTGCTCGTTCTTTGTTTTCTTTGTTTTGGTCAACCGAATGCTTGAGAGTTGTGAGTGGTAATACTCAATAAATGTAACTTGTAGTCTGATAATAAATGCAAGTCCCACTGCTTCAATGCCATAAATATGTTTTATTTGACACAAAAGTTCGGATTTAATTATCACATCATAAATATCCTGATCCCGAAACTCCGAAATTTTGGAATGGATCTCGTAGCAAAGTACGTGTCGTTTATGACATATCGAAACGGCATGGCGTTGGAAAAACTGTCTCTTGAAGAAACCACTAAAAGCAGAGCCAAAATTGGAGAATACCAAACGACTTCAAAACTTTAAGCTTTATTCAAGGAAAAAAAAAAGCTCTTCTTCAATGGAAAATGTTCCAGCTTCCTCCCCGACCAAACCACACTTTTTCCAGCCTCTTCTTCCTGGATTCCACAGCCACCTCGTACTCTCTTTGTCTCATTCACTCTCTTTCTCTGATATGCATGAATCTGTTTATTTCATCTCTGATCTCTCTCTCTCTCTCGATTTCTTTAATTTGTTGCAGAACATTCCCATGGCCTTCTTCTCAAGGTACATAGATGGAACAAAAAACGAGGGCAATGCGGTGGTGAAGCTGAGATCGAACGCTTCTGATATAAACTGGCAAGTGAAGATGGACGGTCGAAGACTCACCCAAGGCTGGCAAAAGTTCGCCACCAGTCATGATCTTCAAGTCGGCGACATAGTTGTTTTCAGACATGATGGAGATTTATTATTCCATGTCACATGCTTGGGACCAAGCTGCTGTGAAATTCAATATGATAACGATGATGATGTCATTCAAATATCCTCTGGTACGAATTACCTCTTTCTGTTACTGTTGAGTGAATTAGTGATAACCAGTATTGGCCATCGGCTTAAACTTGAGCTCAATTTAGTTGTAATTGGTCAAATAATCAATTATTCTCAACTCCAAGATTCAGTTTCTCATTGTTGCCCAAAAAAAAAAAAAAAAAGAGAGTCTAAATTCTCATTCAAAGCTGAAACAGATTCAGATTCAGATTCGAAGAAGAATGAGAACACAACAGAAGGAGGAACTTCATCAGATCACTCTTGTTTTATAACTCGTGTCACCGAGTCAAATCTAAGCAAAGATATGCTGGTAAATAATTTGCTACTGCATTTACAAATCTTGTGCTTAAAGAAGAGTTTTCATAGTCTCTGTAAGCTTTTCAGTTTCTTCCTAGCGACTTCTCAAGGTCTAATGGTCTTAAGAAACGTCAGTGTGATATCACTCTGTTGAATGAAGATGGAGAACCATGGACATTGTTCCTGACTTACCACAAATCACGATTCAATCGGGTTTACATAAGAAGTGGTTGGAGAAGTTTCTGCCTCGCAAATGGGAAAAGAGCCAACAGTGTATTGACTTTTAAACTTGTGCAAGCTGCTACAACACCTGTTCTCCAGTTATGTTCTTCTTCACTTTCAACGAGCCAAAACAGATTCTTGACACTAACTCTCACACCATACAACCTCAAGAACGATAAACTGGTAGGTAGGTTTTCATCAATTATTTCAACATTGTAGTCGAGAGTTTTTAATGTTTTCAAGTCTTTGTGGCAGTGTCTACCGATGACATTTGTGAAAGCGAATGGTATCGAGAATGAAGAGAAGATAACTCTTGTGGATAGGTATGGTATCAAAAGGACGACAAGTCTTAAACTTGAGGACGAATATGGAAGAATGAGATTGGGAAAAGAGTGGAGAGAGTTCTGTGATGTTAATGGAGTGAATATAGGTGAGTCCTTCAAGCTGAAACTCATCAAGGAAAAAGAAGATACAGCTACTCATCTACTTAAGTTCTGCTCCAAAGTCTTTCCCTGAGTTTGTATTGCTTCTGTAGTACCTACTTGAAATGTATTTTGTTTTGTGGTTTTTGGCTGGCTTGTAACAAGGCTTTCACGGTTTGAGATGAACAACGGAAAGCAAATACATTTGTTTTTCCTTAAAAATTTCATTGGCATTGTAAACAATTTGTTCATCTCATCAAAAGCTTCTTTGGTGCTCTAAGTTGGTTCAAACAGATCATCACACTTGTCTGATTCGATAGATGTCAACATTTGAGCTGGCTGGTTCTTTTCATGTTCCATCCAGCTCGTCATTATCCTCAACTATTGAGAAACTTCTAGCAAGATGTGGCGTTGTCTCTGATGCTAATTTTCCCCTGTTTTTTTTTTTTTTTGAGTTTTTTGACCTCTTGAGGCTAACAAAAGCTACAGGCTCACCAAAACATGTTGTTTATGTCTTCCATAGCTTCCTTTAAGTTGATTGTTAGATCTAAAAGGACATGGTGACATACATTTTCAAGTTATGGCCTCATTAGAGATGGTTAAACTGGAATCTGGCCAGATGAGGACTGTCTTTGTCTTGTTCTTCAGAGCTCCTAAGAGTAATCGCTTCATGAACACAAACAAAAGCTTTGTCATCCATTATACCAGCCTAATCATTATTTTCATCTGTAGTCTTGCTTTCCTCTTGCCTCTGTTTCATTTTGCAGATCCTTAATTACTTTTCTTATCCAGTGTCAAATAACAAAACCACTTAAATCCAAAATATATCTCGTTTGATTACGTCCCTAATAAATATATGTGATTAGCTCTAATGTTTTGCTATTCTTTTGTATGTTGTCCCCTATTAGTCAATGACTCAATTGGAGCCTGCAAAGTTCATTTTCACTGATTATTTGCTACACGACAACGTTTTAAGAAGCAAGAGACCTCACTAAAACCCTCTACACGATCTAGAAGGTTACAGAGACGGCTGTGGACTTTTTATAGTCGTCAAATTGCTTCCTCGATTTGCCGAAAGCTCGAAATCGTACTCTCAGTCGCTGCTATCTCTCTGTCTCATGGCGAATCCGACGGAGAATCTCGACGCGAATCTACCAATCCGAGAACCAGAAACTGAAGAAGAAGTTGAAGAACTTAACGGAGGCGAAGAAGAGGAGGATTACGAAGGAGAAGACGATGACACCGAGTCGAAATCTCAAACGCGCGAAGGCGGATCCGACAGAATCAAGGCGGAATCGCTATTCCGTCGGATGCGAGCTGCTCCTGTGCCGGTTCGTGTTCACGACGTGATTGTCAGTGGAAACGAGAAGACTAAGGACCATATCATTGAGGCGGAAGTGGATGCTGTGAGAGAGGCGACCACGTTGCAGGAGCTTCTCGAAGCTTCTAGGGTTGCCAATTCGAATCTCCGAGCGTTAGAAATTTTTGATTCCGTCAACATTACACTCGATTCTGGTCCTCCTGAGCTTCCTGGTACTACCAATGTGGTAATCGAAGTTGTCGAGAGCAAAAGCCCTCTCACTGGCCAAATCGGCGCCTACACTAGAGCAGAGGTATTGCTTTATAGTAACAATTCACTGCTATGTTTCATTTGAGTTGGTTTATTGGGTATTGGTTTCTATAGAGTTGAATTTGTTATCTTCATGTAGCTGTTTTTTGCATCTCCATCAACATATACTATGATTCTCTTGTAGGCTAGATCATCGAGCGTTGAAGCATCTTTGAAGTATAAGAACATTTTTGGTTATGGTGATATATGGGACGGGTCTGTAGTTTATGGATGTGACAACTCTGCTGAGGTTGGCTTGGGGATGTATTTACCAAGGTTTAGAGGACTTTCTACTCCTTTTACTTCCCGTCTTTTCCTTTCGACTCAAGACTGGCTTAAGTTTTCATCGTATAAAGAACGATCCCTAGGTCTTTCTCTCGGTCTTCTCTCAAGCAAGTATCACGAGCTGGTCTACACGATTGCTTGGCGTAATCTGATAGATCCATCACAAGCCGCTTCAAAATCAATAAGGAGGCAACTGGGACACAGTCTGCTTTCTGCATTGAAGTATACTTTTAAATTTGATCAGAGAAACTCAAACTTGAGGCCAACTAATGGATATGCTTTCATCTCTACTTCTCAAATTGGTGGTCTTGCTCCTGATAGCCGAAGCCTACGCTTCTTGAAGCAGGTTGGTCTTCTCTTCTTTCTTGTTGCCAACATTTACATGAACTTTATTTAAGTTTGGAAAGTTCTAATTTCTTACACAGCAAATTCTATGGTACCAATCCCTTGTTTTCATACATACCTTATGTCTGAAATTTATTCTCACTGTGAGAGGAAATAACAAGAATCTTAGACCTCTGATACTTTTAGCACCCATTGTCATTTGTTTTCTCAGGAAATTGATCTTCGATATGCTGTTCCGTTCGGGTTTTACAATGCTGCTCTAAACTTTGGCGTGTCTGGGGGTGTCACCTTTCCGTGGGGAAGCGGATACCAGAACCGCCCTTCCTCTGTACCAGAGAGATTCTTCTTGGGTGGCAATTCATCGCCTGTATGCTCTTTGGGTGGACCATCCGCACTATGGGGATTCAAGACCAGAGGACTTGGTCCCAACGAGCCAAAGAGGAAAGGTGATAGTGAACGGGATTTTGTTGGAGGAGATGCTGCGGTGACTGCATTTGCGGATCTCTCATTTGATTTGCCAGTGAGATGGTTAAGAGAGAGAGGAATCCACGGGCATGTGTTTGCTTGTGCGGGGAATATGGCAAAGTTATCAGAGAATGAGTTTAGAAACTTCACTGCTCCAAAGTTCTTGGAGACATTCAGAACTTCAGTTGGTGCTGGAATCGTCTTACCAACTAGTCTATTCCGTATGGAGGTTTGGTTCTCATCACTACTCTCCCTTATGCATTTTTATCGAATGAAAGTGCAGTGATTAACACCAAAATTATCCATCGTTTTGTTTTGTTTTGAGACAGCTTAACTACTGCCACATATTGAAGAAACAAGAACACGATCAAGCGAGATCAGGGGTTTTCGTGACATTCTCTGCCTCGTCCTGAGAAACTTTAGCTGAAGAAGGTACTCAATATGATATGGCCTTTCATTTTGTTTTTTTTTTCTTAAAGCCGTGTCCCAATGTGTGGCAGAATCTTTGGCTGAATCGAGAAAACTTTACAAAGAGAGTTGATTCTTTTTGTCGTGTTTGCATGGATTTCTCATTTCTGGATTCACGAGGAATAAAAATTACATTAAGGCTCTTAACTTTTTAGGAAAAATTGATGCTGATGAACTCATGACGCTGTCTATCATTACGAGGACTAGTGTTCTAGTAACAAGTCATCTCTACTTGAATTCTTTTTCTTGGTTATCTGTTACTGTCTATTTATTGAGACTTGTTTTCTTTTGTAATATCTATATCCTCACCAGATTTTTGTCTTCGCTAAGACGTTCGTAATAGTAATTATTTATTGGGTATACCATTTAATTTGGTTGGCCAAACAAGACCAAAATGTGTGAAAATTTATTATTCAACACAGACTTTTACTCTCGCGTAGAAAGACTTGTTATATTTGTTGATTTATCTTTCTGGAGTAGAGTCTATTATTATGTATGTATACAAAGAGATGATCATGAAATGTTTACCTACCATCACCATCACATGTCTAGAGAAATTGCAGCGAGACACAACCGATCTTCCTGTGTGAGTTATCTGTGCCAATCTCAGATTCGCTGGCATGATCGGAAATTAGGGCTCTTGCACTTCTTTGTCAGTGATATGTGATTCTTTTCAAAAAGGGGAATATTTATACTCTTCTGCGGCATGTGGTCAAATGGGCCTGCGTTTTATTTATATCCTCCTATATTGTTGGGCCTTAGCCCGAGTTTTTTCCGGATTTTCGGGCAATGAATTCTTGACGCTGTCGATCATTTATGAAAATAACACAACAGCTAACATCTTTGTCTAGCTAATCTTAGGGACTGTAAAAGTCATCTAATTTGGTTGGAAAAAACAAAAATTTGACGTTTCCCGTACGTAACTAAAGTAAAGACAAAATGTGTGGAAATTGACTATTCAACGCAAAGACTTACGTGAAGAACACTTGGTAGAAAGACTCGTTATATAGTGCGACTGGGCATGAAACCATGTTATTTACTACCAAAATTTCCACTTTCTTTTCATTATCAATATTCAAGAGAATTGGACTAGCGTAAAGAAAGATGAAAGGCTTCTGTAACTCAACGAGTATCACTCCTATTACTCTTTCTTTTCTTTTCTTACTCATTTGTATTTTTCGAGATGTGTTTGCGGTTCCTACTAGACACTTGTGTCGTCCCGAACAAAGGGATGCACTTCTCGAGTTCAAGAACGAGTTTAAGATTGGGAAGCCTATTCTTCAATGTACTGGCGTACATCCAAAGACGGAGTCATGGACCAATACCAGCGATTGTTGTAATTGGGAGGGTATCACGTGCAATGCCATCTCTGGGGTAGTGATTGAGCTAGACCTTAGTTGCAGTTGCTTCCATGGCAAGTTAGTTGCTTCCATGGCAAGTTACATACCAATAGTAGTCTTCAAAACCTTCATTCTCTAACCACTCTAGACCTTTCATTTAATGATCTGAATGGTCAAATCCCGTCTTCGATTGGAAACCTTTCTCATCTAACCTCTCTCCATCTTTCTAGTAACAGTTTGGTAGGTGAAATCCCATCTTCTTTTAGCAAACTAAACCATTTGGCCAGCTTAGATATTTCTTCCAACAAGCTCAGTGGAAACTTCCCCATTGCCCTACTGAATTTGATAGGGTTGTCAGATTTATCACTCTCCAACAATCAGTTCACAGGCACGCTTCCTCCTAACATCACTTCACTATCTAACTTAAAATTCTTTCACGCCAGTGGAAACTCTTTCGTTGGAACTATCCCTTCTTCTCTCTTCACTATTCCTTCTTTAGCTTATGTTGACGTAAAAGATAACCAACTTAACGGCACTCTTGAGTTTGGGTATATATCTTCACCATCTAACCTACAATGGTTATACATTGGCAACAACAACTTCGAAGGCATGGTTCCTCCTAACATCACTTCACTCTCCAAGTTGGCGGTTTTTGATGCAAGTGACAACAATTTTACTGGAAGCCTTCCTTCTTCTCTGTTCACAATTCCTTCTTTGACTTATATTGATTTGAGAGATAACCAACTCAAAGGAACTTGAGAGTTTGGGAATCTATCTTCACCTTCTAACCTAGAAGTGTTAGCCATTGGGAACAACGTATTCAAAGGTCCAATTCCGAGATCCATTTCCAAACTAGTCAACCTTAGGCTACTTGACCTTTCTCATTTCAACACCCAAGGCCCAGTTGATTTTAATATCTTCTCGCATCTCAAGTCGCTCCAAGATCTTGACATATCCCATTTGAACACTACAACTACAATGGACTTGGAAGATATCTTATCATATTCCAAGAGACTTTGTTCATTGAATCTCTCAGGCAACCATGTTTCAGCCACAAACATAAGTTCTGTTCCACAATTGATATATTCTTTGCACTTGTCAGGCTGCGGTATCACTGAGCTTCCAGAGCTCCTAAGAACCCAAAACGGAATGGTGATTATAGACATTTCCAACAACAAAATCAAAGGTCAAGTGCCTGGCTGGTTATGGACGCAACCATTTTTGGAATATGTGAATCTGTCCAACAACACTTTCGTCAGCTTCGAAAGACCAGCAAAATATGGGCTATCCCCATTTATGCAGCATATTTTTGGCTCCAACAACAATTTCAGTGGAAAGATTCCTTCTTTCATATGCTCGTTACATTCTCTAAGCATTCTCGATTTATCTGACAACGACTTTAGTGGTTCAATACCTCGTTGTTTGGTAAATCTCAAGATCAGTACTCTTTCAGTTCTAAACCTTCGCCAGAATCGTCTTAGTGGAGGTCTTCCAAAGAATATATTTGAAAGCCTAAGGTCGCTTGACGTCGGCCATAACCAACTTGTGGGAGACCTTCCAAGATCTTTGAGATTTTTCTCTACTCTTGAAGTTTTGAACGTGGAAAGCAACAGAATCAATGACACATTTCCGTTCTGGTTGAGTTCTCTGCCGGAGCTACAAGTTATTGTCTTGCGCTCTAATGCATTCCATGGACCTATACATGAAGCCTCGTTCCCTAAGTTGCGAATCCATCGACATATCGCATAATCACTTCAATGGCACTTTGGCAACAGAGTACTTTGTAAGATGGATGGCTATGTCATCACTTGGGACAAACAAAGATCGGTCTGACCAAAAGTACATGGGAGATGAATCTGGCTATTACCATGATTCAATGGTTTTGATGAATAAAGGTATAGAGTTGGAGATGGTACGTATCCTTCAAATCTACACAGCAGTCGACTTTTCGGGAAACAAATTTGAAGGAGAGATTCCAAGGTCTATCGGTCTATTGAAAGAGCTTCATGTGCTCAACTTGTCAAACAATGCTTTCACTGGCCACATCCCTTCATCTATGGGAAACCTGACAGCTCTCGAGTCGTTGGACGTTTCCCAAAACAAGCTTTCAGAAGAAATCCCACAAGAGCTAGGGAACCTCTCGTTCCTTGCGTACATGAACTTCTCTCATAACCAGCTTGCAGGTCTAGTTCCAGGAGGCAATCAGTTTCAAACGCAGCCGTGCTCTTCCTTTGAAGATAACCTGGGACTTTTCGGCTCTTCTCTTGAAGAAGTTTGCAGAGATATTCAGACGCCAGCATCGCATCAACAGAATGAAACGCCGGAAGCAGAGGAAGAAGAAGAAGAGGTGATTAGTTGGATAGCAGCTGCAATAGGATTCATACCTGGTATTGCCTTGGGTTTAACGATTAGATACATATTGCTTTCCTACAAACCAAAGTGGTTCATGAACCCTTTTGGCCGAAACATTCGTAGAAGCAGAAATACCACAACTCACTAGAGAGGTAATGTTCTGACTTCTAAACGGATTTGTTAGCAAACATTAGAATCTTGTTACTAAAGCGTTTCATTATTTTTATTTTGAATAGGCTTTTAGAACCTATCTGGGAGAACTCCAGGACGTCGACCAACCACTCTTTTAGTAACTAATACTATGTCCAAATCCAGATTGGTTTAGCTTTGTGTTTTTTTTGTTTCAAACCTAAAGTTACTCTCCCTTCAGACGGACATGTATATTTGTTCGTTTCAATTAAGACACAGAAAAACAGAGCAATTATAGAATTTTGGAATATTTTGATCAAAAATCCATTTACTATATTTTGATAAATTAAACCTTATACATGGATATATTCGAAGTCAGTTGTGTGTTGTTCCTTATTTTACACCAACCTCTTTTATTCTCCAAATTTTCAAGGAATTTACAACAAGAATGGACAAGTGTGTTTTGATGATGAGTTTTTAGGGTTTTGTTTTGGCTTAAGGAGAGGAAGCTCTGTGAACTACTAGAAAAGATTAGGCAAGCCTCTGATATTATTATAATCTATAGTGGGAAAGGAATGGAAAGCATTACATTTTAGTGTTAATTTACGAAATGACAAGATAAGAAGATTTGTTAAGTTGCTATTAGCAATTTCTTAAAATTGTTACTAGTTTTGTACATGTGTACTAAGGTTAAGAGATTACAAGATTCTTTGGATTTGTAGTTAAGTTGTTATTATCATTTTGTGTACTCATTCACAAAGGTTAAAAGATTACAAAATTCTTTGGATTTGTAGTTAAGTTTTAATTGTCATTTTGTGTACTCATCATTATAAGGATGAAAAGATTTTAAGATCCTTAACATTTTTGAATGTTTGATTTAAGAAAAGAACTTTAAGTTTTGCGTTGATTTTTTCTTGTTTATTGGTATATTCGCAACCATAATGAATGATGAGTAGAAGAGGAAGCCAAAGAAAGAAGAGAAAAATGGATAGTGAAGGGGACGGTGGCGGTGGTGGTGGGCTTCTCATTCTCTCACTTTTCTTGTCAAATGTCTTGTCTTCTCCATTTCCACACTCCAATTTTATATGCTACCTGTGATTTTATTTATTTATTTATTATTCGACTTCTTTTACTTCCCTCAAAAGTATGCATTATCTACAATAAGAACCAAAGATGCTATAAGCTCAAAATTCTATTTTGTTTTAAGCATCATCACCCACTTTGTAAGAAAATTCCACTTGGATTTGGAGCAATGTGAAACCTATTTTGTATTTTCCTTGATTGACTTGTTTCATCTAATCCAAAGTCTTGCTTCTCCTTTTTTTTTTTTTTTTTTATAATGTCCACAATCTCAAAAGAGAAAATTAGCTTATTAGTTACTTTTACTCTCTCTATCTCTATAGTACGTTATCCTTTGGTTTTTTCAACATTATACTCAAAGCTCATTACCAAAATCTCAAAGATAAACCAGTATATGATTATGATTTATGGCCTCGAACTCACGACCAATCATGTAATTAGCAAGAAAAAGCTCAAGCCAACACAAATGATGAATAGGCCCATGCCTTGTCCCATTTGTTCCCTTCTCTCTATTACTTTCAAAAACACTCTTCTTCACAAAAAGTTAAAAGAGTCTTATTAATATATAAAGGAAGCACGAGATAAAACTTAGAAAAACGAGAGCCTAACATTTACCACCAAAAAATCAAAACAATCAAAAAAAGTTTGAGATGAGAGGGCATGAGCCACGATCAAGCTCATCTTGTGCAGCCTGCAAGCTCTTGAAGAGACGATGCACACCCACTTGCATTTTCGCTCCTTATTTCCGCTCAAGTGACTTGATAACTTTCGCCAAAGTCCATAAAGTCTTTGGAGCCAGCAACGTCAGTAAGCTTCTCGGTGAGGTCCCTGAAGAACAGAGACAAGAAACCGTTAACTCCTTGGCTTATGAAGCTGAGGTTCGTCTCAAGGATCCTGTTTACGGTTGCATTGGAGCCATAGCGTCTCTGCAGAAGAAGATGCTCGAGCTTCAACATGATCTAGCCGTTGCTCGCACTCGACTACTTGCCCATTCTGGGGTCACCAACCAAGTGTCCCCTTTGGATGATTCTCCTGAGCTTGCTGCTTTTCTTGATCTTGTACCTTACAGTGACTTGATGTTGCTTGATGGGTCTAGTCTTGATGCTTACTTGTATGATCTTGGACAGCCTCCTTTTGTATAGGCCTTATCTCTCTATCATATATCTGTTTATCAGCTGTATTTGCAATTTGCTTTACAAGTTATCTTCGACAATCTAAAGTCTGTCCCTAATGTATGAATTCCACAATATGCAAAATCAGAGGCTTACTTCATCATTTGTACGAAAAAGGGTTTAACTTCAAAAGTAACCATCACATGCGATAAGATAACTCAGGTACATGTATGAGCCTTGGAAGGTCAGAGTCCTTACCAATATTGTACCAAGTGGTAGGCCAAGGCAAGCAAAGTGAGGTTTTTTAGATGAAGAGCTTCTTTGTGAGTCAGGTCTGAATAGGAGAGCACATGCTTATGTCAGCCCCAAATTCTACCAAACATGAAACATTGATAGATATGCTTCTGTGATGTTCTTTTTTGAGGCTCCAATAATACAGCCTCATGTGTCAACTCGTCTCCCTCAGGCCACAAGAGTCTTGTCCTGGAGATTCCAGAGTGCTGCAAAGTCACATAAGCAAACATCCAAATCAATAGCTTGGCGGGTTTGATCAAACTCCAAACTGAATTATGAATGACTGTGATAAGAGTTCTCCACAGATGGGCTCTACGCATCTTGTTAAGTCTGTAGGCATTCCTGAAACCTGATTAAGCAAAAGACTAATTGCATATCACAAAATGAGATATGAGCGCTCTTTGGAACTGCAGGCAGTGATACACAAACCATCATACATTGATACTTCACAAAAGTACATCTTGATATGTCAGATACTATGAGAGTTCTTTCGGTAATCCGTATTGCTACTACCAATGTACTCTACAATGCTAAAGAAGAAAAATGAAAAAGAAGAAGAAAAAGCATCGCTATAACTTAAGAAAACCTAAAGATTAATAATAATAACATCTTCTCCAATTCGTATGAGCTTTAAATCCAACCATTGCTCCTTGCTTTATCACAGTAACTCCTCCACAATCTATAATCCTACAACTTCTTACCTGTACAACAACAAAGCACAACTGAAGTTTCAGTAAACTCATCAATCACACAATGAATAAAGAGTATAATGCCCCCAAAGTTTCATCTCAAGATAAAAATGAAAACTTGACCTGAAGCAGCTCTTCGTTTCCCAAGTTTAGATTTCTCAAGCTCCAATTGCATCTCCATCAACATATTCATTCGTTGTAACTCAAGCTCCTTTGCAACTTCCATTCTCTGCTTCTCCAATTCAATCATCATCTGTTGCTTCTTACCCTCGATTCTTTCAAACGCTTCCCCTAACTTCAGAATCGACCTCGCTAATTCCCTAAAGGCTGATCCTTCACTCGGATCTACATCTTCAACTTTACGATGCTTCCTCACCACAAATCCCCAATCACCCGCATCATCATCATCTTCTTCGTCATCATCATCATCATCATCATCGTCGTCAAGAGAGCTTCCAGTTGATTTAGATCCAGTAGGATTCAAATTAGGGTTCATAAAAGCCGATTTAACAACGCCACCGGACGATTTCTTCATAACCGGACCGATTAAGAAATCGAGTCTATCAAAGAAGCACCAATTCGATAAAGGTTTCGCCTTTTCAGTTTTGTACTTCTTCTTCAACGTATCGATCCGGTTTTTGCACTGCACGTCGGTCTTTGGCCGGCCATTCCCGTGGCTAGAATTAACGGCGTCGGCGACTTCTTTCCAATCGTTTTGCCGGAGATTCCCACGGTTGAGATTGACGTAACGATCTCCCCAAGCTTCGATCAATGTCGCCGTCGCGTCTTCGCTCCACCAATCCTCTCTTCCCGCCGGTAGACGGTTAGACCCGCTCTGGTGAGTCTTGGACTGAGTCTCCGGCGTCGTCTCCATCTCGGAGGGGGGAGGAGAGGAGGCTAACGTGCGCGGTGGAGAATGAGGCTTAGGATAAGAATTTCTGTTGGATCGGATTTTTGGTAAAGTTAAAGAGAAATTACGGTTAAAGGAGAGATTTTGATTACCGGCGGTGACGTCAGCAACGGCGATTATCTTCTTTCTCCTACCTCTGCTAACCGATTCAATCACTCATACCTGAAACCGGTTTTCAATAACCGGTTTAGTCATAAATTTGAGTCCTACTTACTAGTATGGTCGATGTCAAGCTTCTTTTAATGCGTTTCTATGGGTAATGATGATAGATTACATTATTAAACTTATAGTGATTGATAATAACGTTTAAGCGATTTGGATTAATGATTAGGGCTAGAATCTCATCAGCTCATGTCATTATAGGAAATCTTAAACGTATATTTTGTGTATTCTAGGAAAGAATACAAAAGATGAGGTCGTATTAGTTTTGGTATAGTAGTTTTTAATGTCATAATTGGAAAGAAATGTTATAGAATAATAAGAAAATTTATGTTTTTTTTAACGTATTCATCATTCATGTAACGCTGTGAGTAAGTGGAGTTTGGAAGTGAAAAATGGTGGTATGTAATTAAGGAAATAGGCGAGTAGGCAAATTGTTAGGTGAGAGAGAACATCCCAAACGTGTTAGGTCGTAGACTATAATATTGTATGTTTCGTGCCTTGTCTAATTGTCCTTTTGCTGTCTCACCAATTGATGATATCTGTTAAGTCCATGCCTAACTACTAATGTTTTTGTAACTACGAAAATCTCGCTGAAATGTTTGGAAAAAATCTGAGGTTTTTTTTTTGTCAATCAAAGTGTACGATGGTCTCGAATCTCGATGAAGTGCTAATAGAAGAAAACCATTGTATATTTCATTTCAAAATTTCTTATGATAACGCAAAATGTGAAAGATAAATCATGATTTACAGGTTATCAAAGTGATGTGAGTTGAAACGTTTAAAACACTATCTAGTTTAACAATGGCTGCAATGTAATATGGTTTTTACGATAAATGCATGCAACCATCCGTAATATACATATATATATATATATATATATATATATGTATGAGTCGTGGAAGAACCAAATCATATTCACCACTACAGCACGTCGTAGCTAGTATAGAATAAAGAGCTCAAAGAAAAAGGAACGTTATATATATGATCAGATTTCATGCTTATGTTCTACATATTATGGTTTTTCTATCGACTGGCTTCCATGTTTTTTTGCTAAGAGGGCTTCCATGTTAATGCTTTTGTATGCATTATATTCGATCTATTTTTACTCTTAGATCACGTTACATTTATATCATATATATCACATCCTGCTGCCAAGTAATCGAGTTAATTGTGGTCGAGTATATACGTCGTGAAGCAATTTACAAATAACAAAACGTAGCCAATTTTGTTTTTAAGCATAATTTAGTACTCCCTCTGTTCCTGAAAATTTGATGTTTTGGTTTTTCTCCTTGTTCATGAAAGTTTGATTTTGTACAATTTATTTAATGTATTTATTTTATTTAAATTAATTAATGATAAAAAGTGGAGTTGAGTGTGTTTTTGGATGTGTACGTAACTCCTACTTTGCATGTGTTAGTAACACAACACACGTTATCTGACATTTCAATAATGAGATGTTTTAATTAAATAATACAGAATTTTTTTTTTTAATTTATGTGCAAATCTTAAAACATCAAATTTTCAGGAACAGAGGGAGTAGTTAACAATGCTATTTTTAATATCTTTTGTTATGTTGCTACCATATCTGGATATTGAGAAACATACAAACGTGCATGTTGCCTAATATAGTCTTTAATATTGTTCCGAAATTAATTAAGAAAAATACAAACAATCTTACTTGTGGAAGCTGTTTAACTCAAATAAATATTCTCTTTCTGTTATTTTTATTAAAATTATCAACACATACAATCACGTGACTGACATTAACTGTATTATACTATATATATTACACCGTGTTCACAATCAACGGCCAGAATTAAGAAACAACCGATCGCAAACCGGAACATGACGTCATCTTCACCGTCTCCACAAGCCTCGATGATTTTGTACTGGCATGAGAACCAATACGACGACCGCAACTTCCAGATTCATGGCCGGACACTCTTCTTCGCCATGGCTCTATTTTCCGTTGTCATCTTCTTCGCACTACTCACTCTCTACATCCACCGGAACTGCCTCTCCCGGAATTCTCTTAATCTCCACGCACCCTCTTCTGATCAACACACACGTTGTGCTGGCGGAGGGCTTGATCCGGCGACGATTCGGAGCTTGCCGGTGGTGCTTTGCAGGAGAGAAGCGGCGGAGGAGGAGGAGGAGGAGAAGGAGTGTTGTATATGTCTAGGTGGTTTTGAAGAAGGAGAGAAGATGAAAGTGCTTCCTCCGTGTAGCCATTGTTACCACTACGAATGTGTGGATAGGTGGCTTAACACCGAGTCGAGTTGTCCGCTCTGCCGAGTCAACATCCGAGTCGACTCGTCAAGCTAATGAGACAGCTAGAGTGATAGTGATTAAGATATTAATTTGTTTGTTTTGTAATTGGGTGGGTAAAGATTTATACATACTTGTCTTGCATGGACATGGATCGAGGATAATATTTTATACACACACGAATGGTCATGGTTTTTTCTTAAAATTATTTTAATCTTCATATTCTGTCTTTATCATTGATTGTGAAGTTTTTTATCACTTCATCTATATTTTAAACATACGATAATAGACATTTTTGTGTAGATGTTTATAAGGCAAATGGACTTATTAATTCAGGTAAATAACTAAATGATAAAACAATGATATGTTATATAGCATATGTGAATATTGTGATACAGTTACATGGTAAAATTCTGTAGTATTTCTGTATAAATAACATGCTATTTTTTCTAAATCCATAATTTCAAATAAAATAACATGCTGTTTAAGTTAATAACATTTTATTTTATCAAACTCGCATGTACCAAACAAATGGAATGTATTTGGCAAATAATTTGTTATCTATAGTTACTAACCTAATACTGTAATTTTTTAAAAATTATGGTTATTTACTCTCTTTAAAAATGTAAAAATGAATTATACTATACTCTTCTACTGATCCAAAAGTTAATTACCACAAAGCTTGGCCAATAGGCAATAAAGAGAGGGAAAAGAACAAAAAATATACAGGTATTGGTTACAATTTAGAAGGCATCAGTATGGGCTTTAATGGGCATAAAATTAGAATCGACCGGCCCAATATTTGCAAAAGTGAAAACGAGTGTCTAGGGTTTTGCTGTCGTATAAAGAAGCAATATGAGTGAATCTAACAAAATCTTTCTGAATTCGCGGCCGCTCATTTTCCTGAAATTTGCATTAGAATCCGAGGAGTGAAGGGTTAATCTTCTGTGAATTCACCATGAGGGCTAAGGTGAGAAATGGGTTTATATACATTTGTGGATTATCTCTAATTCCGAATAATTGTGGGTAAGAGATCTTAATGGTGGTGTTTTGGTGTTGTATCAGTGGAAGAAGAAGCGTATGAGGAGATTAAAGAGGAAGAGACGAAAGATGAGACAGCGATCTAAGTAGAGTTTCGAACAAACCTGGTTTTGTGTTTTCTTTTGTTTTTAAATCAACTCTGTTCTGAGTTTCAGTTTGAATGTATCGTTGGACCAAATTTTATGGAATTTATGTTTTATTACATTGAAAAAAATCAATTTTCTCATAAATGTTGATGTTCTACAATCTGCTTTATTATAATTTTGAGATGCTCTTAAGTTAGATCCTGGTGATTGTTTGGGGTGTTGATGATTGGGAATACAAAGGGAAGCAGTAGATTACTTAGTGGTCACACTTAGTTATGGATGCTAGTAGTTGGCTCATTTGTTTCCCGGAATGGAGTCTAGTTGGTCCCGTTCGGCACTAATCCAGTCAGTAGTTGGCTTTGGTTTGCGTCCGATTGTGGATTGGTATGATGCTGTTTGGATATCTGATTCATTCCCCCAAAAAGACTGGCTAATCAACTTACGAATTATTGGTTTACACCAACTAGGATTCCAATGTATTGTCATAATTTGAGAAGTCATCATATGAAAGAGGGGAGACTTGTTGGCTAATCATATGATCAAAAAATTGGATTGAATGTCCCAATGTAAAATTATGTTGTGCAAAAATATTTTCTCTGTTAATGGGGAAACTAGAATATAAATTTTGATGATTGAATTGTGTTTTGAAATTTTAGTTTTACCGAAGTGATTGTGATTCATCTTACAAGATATTTCATACTCATTTTTATCAAAGCCAATCACAAGAGGAAGTGTAGAAAGAAAATTCATAACTCAAAAAAGGGTTCAAAATGTCGAAATTTAAGTGTGAAAATATAAACTGAGAGAGAGAGAACAACTCATGAGAGAACCTCAATATAACATGACAAGACTATTAAAGAAGTCTCCGCTCCTCTAGAGAAAAAATAGTAAAATGGCCTTCCACCAAAAATGACTCACCTAAAAGAAAAGTAAGACCCCCAAAGAATATTACAAACGAAAACAAGTTTATTATCCACACATACCCTATAAAACGAAACCAAAGAAGGAAACATTCTGACGAATTCCGGTCACTCCTGTAGTAGACAAATAACACCATGACGAATTGGATAACTTGACTGGATAGTTTTGTTTCCAGTGGCCTTAGTAGCCGCCCATTGGAGGCATTCCATACGGTGGCATTGGAGGCATTCCTGGCATTCCGCCCATTGGTGGTGGCGGACCATACCCACCACCTCCCATTCCTGGCATCGGAGGGGCAGGTAGAGCCAATGGCAATAATTGGGCGTACATGTTCTGTTTAGGAAAAACAAAAAGGAGACATAAGTGTCTATTGATTTGTTTTTAAGCATTTTACGGGATGATGTCTGAGTGCAGTACCTGTTGGGACATGACATCCTTCTCTTCCTGTTCTTTGGCCTTCACCTCTTTTTGTGCCTCCAGCTTGTCCTTGATTAGCTCATCCACTTTGCCAGAGTATTCTCGGATAAACTGTGAAGAAAAAAGGACCCGATAAAGAGAATTGATCATAGCGTTCATATGGTTCCTATCTCATTTGGTAGAGTATATTTGAGGGATTTGGAGGATAAATCACCTGGAGGAGATACGGGAAGGCAAAGTCTATCATATTGTTGATCCAAGCAAGTTCTAGAGCAACGTCTGGTCGGATTAAGTCATAACAGACAAAGAGACATGTAGCAAAGCATTCCTTTTTCCCCTGTAAAATCATCACAACATACAACAAAGGGAATGTAAAGACCAATAGTCTTTCTGTTTCACCATATACGGTAAAAAGTTGAAAAAAAACTAATGGCTTTCGATGTAATCCTGCCTGAAACCTATCCATACCTGTTCAATGAAGTAGACGAGAAGTTGTTCTGCAAGATCATGGTCGCCGGATTGCGAAGCAGTTTCCATACAGTCCTTGTACATGTTATCTTTCTTTGATAAAGCAATCGATTGCTTCCATCTACCAGCTTTCTTGTAGATATAAGCAGCCACACGTCTCATTTCGACAAGCTCGTGTTTCTCAATCTGTTTCGCACCATCCACATGAAGATAAATTAGTATATAAGGGAAAATATAGATGTGTACTCGATAGATAGATTTAAACTCTTACCTTCTGGGCGAGACCTATCTGGTCAAAACTGTCATGCAAATCAATAGACTCGCGCAACCTGTCATAGTCTTCTTCTTCTACATATATCTCATTCAGAGCTTCATTTACAGCAGAGACATTATTGCTCTGAACTGCAACCATGTATGGCTTGATAAGACGCAAGTGACCAGCCTGAGATCGAAGACAAGAAAAAATTATCAGAAATAGATTGTTAAGCCACTGCTGATAAGCTTTAAATCAATGGTCAGCCTCTAACCTTGCGCATAATATCAACGACACGAGTGTGATCTAACCGCAGAGCAAGCACATTGAGAAGATCGTTGATTATATCAGGGTGCTCTTGCAAGTAGAAGTGAACGGCCTTATAGTAAAGCTCAACATTCGCAACCTTGGCAACAATGTCTTTGAATTGCATGTGCTCCCATGCTTCAGGAGAATGATTCATGACAGTGGTTGCAGCATTATCAAACTCATCATATTGAATGTAAAGATAGGTAAGTTCCTGCCAATGCTGTTGTTCATCACAGGCCCGGATAAGTTTGGGAATATTGAGGCGAGTCGAGAACAACTTGATGTGTTCCATAAGCTTCTCATAACGATATCTGGCGTACAGGACACCCAACTCGGTGAAGATCCCCATGTGAGCACGTTCCAGACCAAGTCCACTCTCCATAAGTGAGATCAATTCATTGAAGCATCCTCTGTTCTGGTAGTACTCGCTTACTTCTTCCAGGTCATCCACCTATTAAAGCACAAAAAAGATTACAAAAAGGCATACAAAATTGAAAATTGAAACCCAGTTATAACTAAAAACTTTATAATCAGGTATTTATCCACCTGTATGATAATGTTAAGTCCACAGATTTGGGCCAGTCGGAATTCCTCAGCATCAACACAAGCAAAGCAGACTTCCTTCCATGTCTTTGCACTGTTTGCTTTCCTTGCAGCATCAACAGCACCTTGGAACTGTTGCAACTTCACAAGGGTGACGGCTAACTTGGCCCAATTCGATATGAATGCATATATTATCTTTGCAGCCTCATACAGAGCTTCATCATACAAGCGGTCACCAACATTTTGAAGGTTGGCAACGTTGGGCATCAGAATAAATTCTTCAATCTCACCCAACCTTTCAATCTTTGCATAAGCATAGATGAGCTCACTATCCACCTTGGGTTCCTTCACCTTCTGTCTAACCATCAGAAGGTATCTCACCAAGTCATCATAGACATTAGTATCTTCAGAGGCGCGGATGACCTCCAGGAACTGAGTGGCATCATCAGCTCGGATAAAGGACTCAATAGCATCACTGACTAATCCGTCCCTGAGCTGAGCCTTAGCGACTTGACTCCAAACAGCATCTTCTTCAACCCGGAAAGCAAACTCAACAGCACGCTCAATGCTTCTGACGTTATCCAACAATACGTTGACAGCCTGAACATTTAAGTTGAACTTCTTAAAAATCGCAAATGCTTCCTCATACAATTGAGCGTCAACCGCCACTTCTCCAACAGCTGGACCATCAAAATTATCCAGCCTGTTAATGTAATCCATAACTCTAGACGGATCTGCCTTAATAGCTGTCAGTATAAGCAGATTTTGCAGATTGAAATTTCCACTGAAGGCAGAATTTTGAAGCACAATTTTTTCAAGAAGCTCAATAAGCTCATGAGGCAGATCAGCAGTCATGAATGCTTTAACAGCTGCAGAAACTTGCTCTGGGCTCTTGCTTTCAGGTAAAGCAGTAGACACAACTTGGTCGATAAGTTGCCTCCTATATTCATTTTCTTCCGTAAGAACCTTCTCCCAGAGGTCACCATCCATCCTCTCCACTACGTACCTGCAGTTGGAAAATCGTGTGTAAGCAGTCTACAAAGTAACCAGTGTGGAATAAGTAAGAAGTCTGGTAAGCAATAATCAAATACCTGGCTTGTAACTTGAACAAAGAGTTCTTGTTGGTGACATTGATGAGTTCCTCGTCACATTGTCCTCTTCTGTATGCAACCACGGCCAGAGTGGGATCACGTTTCTCGCAGTACTTACCCACAACCTTAGAGTCGTAGTAAGGATTGGTGGTCAGGAAATGCTCGGGGTTGTTGTTACTGTCTATGATAATTTTACCCAAGGCATTATGGACATGCACATCTTGGCTTCCCTCACTAACTAGATGCTCCAAGAACTGAGTAAGGAGACGGAGTCGATTTCTGAAAAGACATATACATATTAGAGCCTCAGATGACTAAAAGGAGCATACACATGAACGGAAACCCAGATGACTAAAAGGATCCGCACCTCTTTTCACATTCATCAACAAGGGGTTCAACAGGAAGTAATGAACGAACAGAAAGAATGAGGCCTTTTATAAAATCTTCAGGGCATTCGTCATCAAGCAACTGCCCCACAACTAAGGGAGCATTCCCAGGATTTACCTACAAAAGGGATCGCATATACAAAAGGGATCGCATATATAATTATTTCATGAAAATCCTACCCTATTTAGCAATAGTGTAAAGAAACTACATACCTTCTGAACGTAACCTTCAATGTAACGCAGCATGTTGTTTGTGTAGAGGTAATGAGTAAGATCAGGCACAAAGCCAAAACGATCGCAGACATTTATCAAAGGTCGGGCATCAGGAAGCTTAGCTTCCATCAAAAAGTTCTTCGTCTTTTCAGCATCATAAAAGTTAGACTCTCTAGTCACACGCTCAACCTCCTTTATTTGACCAGTCTTGGCAGCTGCTTCGATGTACTTGAAGTGAATCTCAGGATCCTCACTATCACACAGAAGGAAGACATTGTAAGTCATCAGAATACAAACTCCCGCATTGAAATTGTTTACAGGAATGACAGCAGGTTCTTGATAAATTACCTCATACTCAAGTATGAACCTAGGAAAAAGTACAGCCCTTCGTATGACTTGAATTGCTCAAAGAGTTTAATGCATGCATCGACACCAAGTTGCTCACAGTACTCCTTGCAAGCCTGCAAAGACATGGACACGTCAGTGTCACATTAAACAATCAAATTCATATCTTACAACAATACAGCACATACCTGAACGATT